TAGCCATATTACAATTTAATTATTTCAATAGTACCTTACTTTTCGTTTTTCAATATATATGTAATAGAATATTGATTATTAAACATGCACGAAATTAAATAATTGAATTGTACTAGAACAATCCAATTGATTCATAACATGGAATTTAATTAATTTGAATGAATGAATATAGAAAAAGAATAATGCATATATATATTTAAACAAATGGGGTGTAAGTGAATCAACATGAAATTTAATTAATTTGAATTAATAGAAATATAAAAATAATAATTTATATACATTTAAACAAATGAGGTGTACATGAACCAACATGCAAATTAATTAATTTGAATCAATAAATATAGAAAAAAAATAATTTATAAATATCTCATGAAGTGAAAAATCATTTTCTGAACAATTTTAGTCATACTACAATTTAATTATTTCAATAGTACATTATTTTTCGTTTTTCAATATATATGTAATAGAATATTGATTATTAAACATTTACCAAAATAAATAATTGAATTGTACAAGAACGATCAAATTGATTCATGAACATGGAATAAATGAGAATGAGAAATGGGAAAAAAATGGAGCTCAAACGGGTACATACATTTAAACAAAATGGGTGTACATGAACCAACATGAAATTTAATTAATTTGAATAAATGAATATAGAAAAAGAATAATGTATATATACATTTAAACAAATGGGTATAAGTCAACCAACATGAAATTCAATTAATTTGAATTAATAGATATAGAAAAATAATAATTTATATACATTTAAACAAATGAGAGTGTACATGAACCAACACAGAATTTAATTAATTTAAATCAAAGAATATAGAAAAAGAATAATTTATAAATATCGCATGAAGTGAGAATCATTTTATGGACGATTTTAGCCATATTACAATTAAATTATTTCAATAGTACCTTACTTTTCATTTTTCAATATATATGTAATAGAATATTGATTATTAAACATGCACGAAATTAAATAATTGAATTGTACTAGAACAATCCAATTGATTCATAACATGGAATTTAATTAATTTGAATAAATGAATATAGAAAAAGAATAATGTGTATATACATTTAAATAAATGTGGTGTAAGTGAATCAACATGAAAT